GGTTTCTTCCTTTGGCCTTGCACTCTCACCCCACACTTTCACGACTCAACCACATCGACGATTGGTTGATATTAGCTCAATCAGAGCACATGGCGGTTCGACATCGAGATGTCGTTCTTGCTCAAACGAAAGAGCTGGGGTTAAGACTTAACACCAAGAAAAGTGAGCTTTCTCCAGTACAGAGAACCACTTATCTGAGCATGGTGGGGGATTCGACCACGATGTAGGCACGTATGTCTCCTGCTCGGATCGAGTCGATCCTCGTCGCGAGAGTGAGAGAAGGCCGGTCACTCACTGTCAAGCAGTTCCAGACTGCTGGGTCTGATGGCAGCCTCTCAACCGAGGTTGTTGAGACTATCCTCTATCCAGAGCTCCCTCTATGAGGAAACTGTACTTCTTGGTGCGGAGAACGCCAGCTCGACCCAGCTAACTGCACGTTTGGTACAGTTCTGGAGTTCCTGCAGGCCTGTTTATCCGCAGGGTTGACCCACTCCACCCTAGAGGTCTTCGTGGCGGCCATTGCGGCCTACCACGCCCCTTTCGGTGGCCATTCAGTGGGAAGACACCCTCTTCTTACACGTTTCCTCCGCGGTGCGCTGAGGTCGAGGCCTCCGGTCAGAGAAGCTTATGCTAAGTGGTGGATCAAGATGCTATTCCATAGCCTTGAGCCCTCTGATCTCCCCTCTCCTTCGGGGTCAAACCTTGGTTCTTATGTCAGGGCCTGGTGCTGGGAGCTCCTGGTTGCCGCATATGCTAGCGACGGATGCATCTTTCAACGGTTGGGAGCGGTCATGAGTGGCCGCTCGGCCCGCGGCCTGTGGAGCGGCCGCCATCTCAGGTGGCGCATAAGTTGACTGGAGATGCTGGCCGTGTTTCTAGCTTTGAAACACTTCCTCCCAGGCCTAAGAGATCGCTATGTGTTGGTGCGCACCGACAACACAGCAGTGGTCCTTTATATATGTGGGAACAGACATCCTGTCGAGGCAGGGGCCGAGGCCCGGCAAATAGATGCCTCACCCCGAGGGGTGAAGCAGACTTGGAGAGTCTTTTGGTTACATACGTAACCTGGAGACGTTTTGGATTTAACAATTTTTAGAGTTTACACTGAAAATAAAACAAACTTTTTATAAGAGAAGTCACAGACGTTTTGCGACAGGTGGGATTCAGCTTATGGCACTTCTCATTCATTCCTGTGATTGAGTGTTGCACAACTCTGACTGAAATTCAGTGACATTAAGGCTGTATTGTGATTGGATATCAAGGCACATGTGATCCAAGTTGACCATTACGTTTTCTCCAATGGTAAGTAATACAGACCCTCGTATCTCCCAATAATAAGAGAATCTCTGCTAGAACAAAGGAAAAACAAAACTATATAGAAACAAACTAAAAGTCCATGAAAATGAAACTAGATGAAACATTTAAATATCCGTTACTACTAAAATGCATTTAAATTTTTTTAATATATATTTTTAATTTCCACCACCTTTGATGTCCTTTAGGGTTTTTTATATTGAACTTTGGTGTTTCATTTTTGATTACTATTAGGTGAACGTTAGCTTTATGGATTGATTGTCAGTTAAGGTTAGTGCACAACAGACCAATTAGATTGGATTAGATTAATTTGGAGTTAGATTTGTGTATTTGTCGATATTGGAATGCACACAAAGGCAGCAGCATTTTACATGGTTAAACAGCAGTTGAGAAAAATGCTGTTATTCTCCACTGTTATAAGGGAATTATTCCTGCAATAAATTGACCTTAATTCACTTTTAATTTAAGTGATTAAAGTGCAAAGATACTCCCTTTCAAACAGTCAAGCAAGTGGTCGGTGCAGTGACCTGTGGGTCTGCAGGGAAGATTCATGGGTTTGGAACATGTATGTTTGGTGCATACTGATTCTGTTCTTGAGCACATGCAGTGCACGGTATATTTACTTGCCTCGGGCAGTTTGAACGAGAGTGGTAATGTGTTTTTATAATACGTAACTATCTAGTGTTATTGTTACAGAGCAATTTATATGTTGCATTTGTGCAGCTTTAGGAATCTGCCTATACTTTGGTTGCATTTTAAAAAGTCCTATAAGCAAAAAATGGCTATTGAGGCATAGAGTTCATCAGAAATGGATGGAGGTAGCAGGCATGTAGAAAGGTAAACCGTGTGTTCTTGAGTGCACAGGATGGCACTGAGAGGGGGTTGCCAGGTTACAGTGCCTTGCGATTGTATTCATACCCCTTCATTTTTTTTAACATTTTGTTTTGTTGCTGCTTTATGTTAAACTGCTTTAAATTTGTTTTTTTCCACTACAATCTACACTCCATACACCATAATTTTCAAGCAAAAAAACAGGTTTTTAACATCTTTGCAAATTTATTAAAAATAGAAAACTAAAATGATTCCATTGCATAAGTATATCTGGGACAGTTGACATTTAGCTCAGGAGCATTCATTTTGCTTGTAGATATTAATACACTTCAAGCGAAGTTAACCTGTGGCAAATTCAATTGAATGGGTATGATTTGGAAAGGCACACACATCTTAATAAAAGGTCTTTACGAAGTTGTGACAATTCTGTTTTTGCTTTGTCAGTATGGTGTATGGAGTGTAGATTGATGTGGAATAAAAGTAATTTAAAGAAGTTTATCATAAGGCAGCAACATAACAAAATGTTTAAAAAAAATGAAGGGGTATGAATACTTTCGCAAGGCACTGTATGAGTAAGAGAGAGTGGACTGAGAGAGAGAGTGCTAGTCTTCCAGCACATTCCATAGCATGGGCTCTGAGAGGCTGTTCTGTGTCCAGGAGGCCGGCTCTGGGGCTGGAGGTAAAACTGAGAGGCTGTTTTAAAAGAGTAAAGAGGTCGGTCCAAGCACACACACTTGAAGTAATGTACATTCAAGCACTCACCCACTCACGTGCAAAGAGACGAATACACAGTTGAGCATATGGATGAACTCGCACTACAGAAGTGAGCACATGTACATGTGTGATCACATATTGCATGTCAAGATGATTTGGCATGATGTCAGTATGATTTGTAGTGACTTAGCAATATGCTCCCACACGTGTTGCACAAGCTGAAACACACTAAATGCAATCATATACTTTATAGTGGGGTAAATAAAGACTAATGATGAAAATTCTTATATTTTGTACATTTTTACAATGTGGTTTTACTTATTATACTATGAGTATAGCAATTTGAAAGAAAAGTTGAATTTGAAAAATATTTTAGTATTCCTTTTTCAAAATACTAAAACTTTCAGTTTCCGTTACATACAGTCTTTCCCTGTTTTTATTCACTTTATTAGTTTCTGAATATTTTTCTGTAATAATTAAAGGGGTCATATGATGCTGCTAAAAATACCCTTTTAAAACACACAGTATGCAGTAATATACAGAGGGGTCCAATGGTGAAAATGCTGCTATTTTGCTTTTTTTTTTTCAATATGAGAGAAAAGTCAAATTGATATTATTATTATAATTTTTTAAATTCCTAAAAGTATTCCTTCTGATTTTAAATGAAATAATTTTTTTTCCACAATAATAAAACTTTAATTTTCCATATCCGGTCTAAATTTTCCTCACTTTGTTGATTTCCGAATATTTTTTTGCAATAAATAATTATGTGATACAAAGTCAGGTCAGGGGAAATCTAGTTAGTTTATTGAGTTATGCAGGAAAACCCAATTTTGTTTACAACTGTGTGTGATAATGCGTTTTGTACCCTGAAAGCATTTTTGAATAAAAGATGCCTTTGATTTTGAAACTAATAGGAGGCTGAGAAGAAAGCAGAGAAGAGATTCAAATGCCTGATTATTCACTGACAAATGCATCAAACATTTAACTCTCTCTAGTGTTTTCATTAGTTATCAGGGCTTCCAGTAAATATTTGGTTGTGAAGGCACACACTGGACTGTGTTTTATCAGCACAATTCAATGGTATTTTTATGAGGTTGAAAAATGTATGATCATGTATTTCTTAACTCTGAGTAGAAGGAATGTTTGAAGGTGAGCCATGCGTTCTGTACCTGTTCATATGTTGTAACAGTTACCGTATGTTAGGTGAAAAGATAATAGTAAATGAGAGGATGAGGGTTGGGTGATATATAGAGCATCTGCCCTTCCAGCAAGACTATATGATGTGTTTTGGCAGGGGCCTTGCATGTAGAGGTGAGATTTATTGTTACTGTTGTAATGACAGTCTCCTATGTTTATGAACATATTTCATTTGCACTGTCAAATCTGTCTTTCTGTCATAGTTATTTTTCTAGGCAGGTCTTTGGTTAGACAGACTTCAGCTTCCTCTTCATTTCTGACATTTTATTTTTGTTCTCTCAAGGCTGGTATGATTCGCACTGATTCTGATGAGTACTTCATTGAGCCTCTGGAGCGAGGAACACAGGAACACGAGGAGAGGGGAAGAGTTCATGTGGTGTATCGAAGGTCTGCAGTATTGCAAGCGCCTTCAGACATCTCCTTGGATTACCAGCCAATCGGTACGTACCACTGGATTATTGAAGTTTTGTGTGCATCTGTTGATTCTAGCCTTACCCCATTTCCTGTGTATGCCTTATAGGTTTAGGATTTTCCACAGCCTCATGTTGTAAATAATGTTTGATGTGTTTGAAATCCGATAAGGATCTATTCAGCCATTGTTGCTGTTGATTGATGATTGATACATTTAATTAAGTCCACATTTTAATTAAGGCCGTAGTTCAGGGGTCAGCAACCTTTTTGACAAAGTATCTTTTTTTTTTTTGCCCACATTGGTAATCACATTGCCATACACACCTAAGCCCCCCTCCCCAATTTCTCAGTATTATATGGTTTGCAGCAGGGTTATTATAGTTAATTAAAACTAAAGCAAAACCATTAAAAAAATTTCGTTACTTGATATAAAATAAATGTTAACTGAAATAAAATATTAAAAATGTATGCTTATTTCAGCTGATTGACAAGGCAACTCATTAACTTGATGTACTAAAATAACTAAAACTGAAACTGAAATAAAAATTTATAAAATATATAGAAATATTTAAAAACAATAAAAAGTAATAAAAATTACAAAAACAACAAAATTACTAAAACTTTAAAATTAACATTAAAGCAGAAAATAATTGTTTTTTTCAAAATATTAACACATTAACATATTAAAACTAATAGTATCTCAGTGATACTAAAATAACATTGGTTTGGAAAATAAAACAATATACTGTATTTAGAAGTTTGTTTATATATTTATTTATTTAAAAAACGATAAATAT